GAATGGTCTTGATGACAGATTTGACTTTAAGGTGGATGTGAACTTAGGATCATATTAATATTTCTTTTAAATGTAACTGCATTCATATTCTCGGTGTCGTTCCCCTTCCCCAGTTATTTGTTAAATAAATTCATGTTAAATGTTACTGAGATTAAAAGGATTTAAAGGATTCAAGCAGGAATCTGAACCCAGATCAGTCTGTTTCTTACTGTACCTTCCAGGTCATCGTCTCTGATCACTATGTCGTATTTCCCTTCGATTTTTATCACTGTTGCAGGAAATGAGGACAACGGATCTGTCAGAAAACACTTGTTTCCTTCCGCCGTGTATTTTGTATTCACCTTCGTCGGTACCTTGCAGCCTCTCGCTCTCTGCGGCGTCGAGAGCGGTCACCTTGTCCGATTGGCGGGACGCCCTGCTGATGCCGGCGCTGTTCACGGCTCGGACCCGGAAGTGGTAGGAGTGTCCCGTGCTCAGGCCGTGCACCGGGTATTTACAAACCTTCACCGGGGCGTCGTTGCACTGGACCCAGGTCTCGCTGCCGGATTCACGCCTACACATGGGACCAGGAGGTGACGTCATCAGCAGGTAAAATACACAGAATACTTCAAAAAGTGACTTTAAATGCATATGTACGCATAATAAACAGTATTCAGACTCATCAGATCAGTTTTAGTGATTTCCTCTGCATTAGCTGTAATTTGACTGTTCATGCTAACGTGCCAGCTCCGCTCTATAAAAAGAAAAGCCGAGGAGGCCTCAGGGCCCACTGACCGGTCCACAAAGTATCCGGTGATTGGCGCCTCGTTGACGGTGTTGGGCGGTTTCCAGGCGACCAGGACGTAGTCCGAGTTGATGTCATATGCCTTCACGCTCATTGGTGCACCAGGGGCCCCGGCTGCAGAGGGAGTGGCATCTAGGGACAGAGACTACAAACTGTTAACGAAACAATCTCTAACAGAAACGAGAACATGTCTTGATGGAGCAGAGTTGTGTCCGACCTGAGACAAACAGGTAGGCGCTGTGCTCGGCGGTTCCATCCTTTGTGAAGATGCGGAGGGTGTAGAGGCCCTCGTCGTCCTTGGCCAGGTGGGGCAGCGTCAGACGAGCTGCGCTTCCACCCACCGCCATCTCCACCAGCTTACTTGGTTTCAGCAGTTTGTCTATTAGCAGACGGGATGGAAGGACGAGAGAGGACACAATGTTTGTCTCGGAGGTGGCATCAGGACAGATTGTTTTGATGAAGGAACAGAATGAAAATCTCAACAGCACCACCCTGAGCTCCGCACATGAATGAATGTCTCACCGTCTCTGTACCACTGAGCGACGGGTGGTATGTTGGGGAGGTCGGGCACGACCACCATGGTGCACACCAGGCTGATGGATCCGCCTTCCACACCGAAGCTGACCGAGAAGCGGTCGAGCAGAGAGACCTCCAGTTTACTGGGATGGATGCCGGTCAGATGAGGCACTGGACATCAGGACACCAGAAGTTATACGTCAAACAGAGAACTGTGTCTTCTAGGTCTCTACTGAGTGAACGTTCTAGTTCAGGGTTCCCACTCATTCTGGGAAACCTGCAAACTTACAGACAACTTCTCCTGTCGTGCAAACTACCTGGACATTGATTCAAATGATAAAACCTCCTGGTAATAATCTTGATAAAAGTGTTAATACTAAGACTAAAGGTGAATTAAGTGACTGTTTGTTGCCCCTGTCCTAAATGTGTCCTTCTTTGTGAGGCTGTTTTGAAAAATAATTATTTGAATAGTTGTTATTAATAATTAAATGTCCCTCTAGTGGTTTTTTCACTGTCTGGGTCTAAAACACTTCCACTGCTCCTCACACCTCCTCACGTGCACTGCTATCTGAAGCCAAATGTCCATCAGCCCATGTGTTACTGGTTTGTGTCTGGGCCTGATTCCAGACAAACATTAAAGCTCCACCCTCGTCCCCGGTCCCCGGTCCCCCGTCCCCTCACCTATCCCGAGCTGGCAGGACGCCCCGGCTCCTGAGGGTCCTGTGAGGAACAGAATTCATGGTCACGGAGAGAAAGGGATGAATCCTGAAACCGCGGCGCAGTTAGAGAGGAACTTACTCTTCACGGTGACTGAAGCCTTGCTGGTGGCCGTGCCGTGCTGGTTGGTGGCCACAGCACTGTACTCGGCAGTATCGCTCACCACACACCTACGAGACGCCATGGAAACACGTCAGTGATTTGATTCAATACATCAAGACGTATCCTTTAGATATCCAATGTGTGGTGCAGCTGTTCACTTCAAAAAACACTTTTTAATATAAAATAAAAAATG